TATACTCTTTTTTTCTGTTTTGAGTATTTATTGTATCAGTGTTATCATGGAATACAAGCATGCTCTTAAGTCTTAAATTATGCAATACCTTTTAATTTGCTTTTAATGTCTTTTTATTAAACTTTAAATGATATGATGTTGCTTTATTGAAATGATTTGTAAATTAAAATGGTTATGAAAGTAAATGTAATTATAAACAGTATGATTTTGTTATGCATCTGTTGCTGTCTATAAATTAAATTGCATTTTATTTTTACATGACTAATAGCAGTAATAATGCATGCGTTTAATAGTAACACGGACCCTCCCTGTAACCCTTTCTAATCCAGTGTTCTATGTGCTTAGGTAAATAATGCAACAGCACGTGTAATGACAAATAAAAAGACCGTCAACCCTTACACGAATGGTAAGTGCATGAGATCTCAGTGCTTTGTTTTAGTGTCAACGCATGTGAAACCTCACTCTTCTGCTGTACGGGTGGACTCCTCTCCTTGCGAGTGTCCTGCATCTGCTTGGGCTCAGGTTCTGTCCAGCGACCTAAAACATGATATGACAGGGCAGAAATTCCTTCTGTGTACGGTTCAGCTAATTCACAGCCATGTGAGCAGAGCATGCATCATTTTGCCTGATGGGAATCTGAGTGTTAAACCACAGTGGCTTAGTATAGGAAAGCGTTGTTCTCTGCTAGCGTTGTGCAGTGTTGATGTTGCGATGAGTGATCTGGTCGGAGGATTCAATTTGGCTTGGGTGATGTAGGTAGGGAGACCAGTAAGAAGAATGTCTTTGTCAGGCATGAGTCACTTCTTAGTACCAAGACATGCATCTAGTCAGGGACAGTTTTCTGTGTCTTCCTTCCACAATTTGTTAGAAGTAAAGGGCAAACTGTAAATGGGAGCTGCTTTCAGCATTTTTTCCCTGGAAAGATCTGAATTCCTAGCTATCTTAAAAAATTCATTCTAATACTGACCTAAGTTGGCATGAGATTGTACATGAATGATAGAAAAATAATCCATAGATGTTTGAGGAGTTTGGAAGCGATACACTGTAAAAATGTTTCCTTTGGCAATGTGTGATCACGTGCTTGAGTTGTTTGCGTTTGCTAGTTCAGAAAATACTAACGGGTTCCTGACTCAACAATGTCAAACCTTAATATATCAATTGAAGTTAATTGCAATTATATTTTCCAGTTTTACTAGACTGTATAGTTATAATTATTTGCTTTTCAATTTAATTTAGTTTTTCCCATTCAGCAGAAAGCAAATGAAATCTGCACGTACATCAGTAAAGGTTTCCACAGGTAGAGTCTTTTCTTTTTTGAAGTATAATGGATCTCTCATTAGTGAGGTTTTTCTAAAACCCAGGGCAAACAATGGCTTTATTTTTTTAAAGGTTAATCGTAGTAAAAATAAAATATAGTGAAGATTTTAATTTGACATGTGATAATGTGATAAAATGATCTGGAGAAGAAGAGTCTGAAGTTCCTCATGCTTTCTCAGAAATTGTTGTCTTCCTCGTTTTATATGTAAACACAGAAGTTGGCAAATGATGCAGATGGGAAAATCTGCTTTGTTTTTACTGGCTTTAAAAACATGTTAGTGAATCTAGTGAGAGAGACACAAAGCTTGACTGGATCACATAAGATTTTGTTCCAATAAGGAGTTAAATTAACTCTAGGCATTGGATACTATGTACTTTGCTATATTATAATGATAAAAGGATAAAAGTAGTTTTGTTATAAATTATTAACATTTTGTATTCATATTATCCTAAGGCTATAAAACTGTTAATTAGCAAATAATACGTTACGTATCAGCACATCCAGTGCTGAAGGAAGGGAATGCTGGAAACAGAGATATGAGATTTTGGAAATCGGGTTTTAGGGGAGGTTCACCACTGTGTCCTGCACCGCAGGATTACTTATCATTACATTATCATTTGTCAATATCCAAAACTAAAATGATGAAAATCTGCTATTAAGTGTTTCCCACTTGAAGTGTTTTGTTTGTCATTTTCCATCCTCTTCCATCTGGACTAGATCTCACCAAACGTATGAAACCTCCTGTTTAGTGCATAAAAACTGGCATTTATGTTTGCAAAACTATACATCCAATGTGTTGCATGCAGGATGTTCTTTTGCACACCTTTTGATGGACATCTACCAAGGCAAACTCTGGTTGTAGTTCATACATTTTTAAATTTTTTTTTTTTTGATGTCTGAGATTCCCTAAAATAAACACACAAAGACAATCATCATTTGCGTGCATAATCATTACAAGCGACAAGGAATGAAGTGTAGACATGCCAAGTGCTTCTATGATCAGCCATCCTGACTTGGTATGATTCTAGTTCTGTATCAGTTTGTCAGGAATTAGCCAGTACTATAGCTGTTTATTAAAGATTATTGTTGTCTAAACTAAAGGTATCATCTTTTAAATCAAATATAAAGCTAGTTCTTCTGTGTTCTTCTGCAATCATAGGAACGTTTGCAAGATGCTTTTGACGCAGATAGCCAGAAACTTTTGTGTGCACATGCCTGTCTCTTCAGAACTACTTTTTTTCAAGTGTGGCTTTATTTTTCAAGAAGCATGTAATGACTGACATGTTATTTGCAGATTTTAAAAATACGGTTGGGGCACAAGTGGTATTGTATGAAAACATCAGGCACTAATGTTTATTGTAGTTTAAAAGAAGATACACTCTGTTTTGTCTTTCATTTCTGAGTATTGCTGGTTGTTTGATAACAGGGCTCATGTCGTAGATATTATTGCAAAAGTCAGTAGATCTTAAAGCACAAAATCCTGGACTTTTTTTTAATATATGCAGCTTCATTCAAGTAAATGGTTTGCTTTTGTGTCCTAGATGGTTTTTGAAATAAGTTTGCTTTCCGGTGACTTTTGATGGTTCCCGAAATGAGCAGTTAATAACTGCTCAGTTGCTGGAAGAGCTTTTTTTTTCTTTTTTGTGCAAGTTTGTTATCAGACGGAATGATTTTGGTGGCTGACCTCATGTACTTTGGAGACGGAACTGCCTTTTCTTTGCAAATAAATTCAGTGTCAGGAACTCTACTTGTTGGAAAAAAATATTTCAGAGACGTTTTTAGATGTTCCGACCTATTCTGTTCACAGTTATACTTTCTTCTGATGCCCATGTTGCAATTCAGGGTGCTGATCCAAGTGTTGTAGGGAATAGAGAATTATGTGAAAGTAAGTCCAGAGAACTGCAGCGATGAATGAGGAACACGAAACAGAGATCAGTAGAGAGATACATATGTTTTAATGTTTATACTTGCAGTGTCTTGAATTTGAGCCTTCTATTGATCTAAACTTGGATTCAAAATCACAACTAGCGACTATTACCACTGCTCGATTCCCTCCCACTCCCCTTTCCTCCCCTCTGTTTGCAAACACGAGGAAAGCAAACAGTGTCACAGGGCTTCTTTCGCACCGAGACATTCCTCCGGCCACGGGTGCTTGTCTGCCCTATGAAGTGAAAATAATCCTCCCTGCATTGCTGTGCCCCAGTTTCCACCAAAGCTTGTTACGCTGCGCAGTGTGAGTGTTTCCTTCCCTTTAACACGCTCAACCTGGATTTCTTTCGATGACTGTCCGGGGTGGGGTTTTGGGGCAGGCAGAGGGATTGTTTGCTCCCTTGTTTGATTTTGAAGTTTTGAGCTTTTCTAGTTTCAGCTTGAGGAGGGGATTAATATTGTGACAGTAAGAAAAATGCACAAAATCACACCCACTGCAGAGAACTTGTCTCCTGCAGCTGCTGAAGTAGAGTTACGTGGCAGCTGCTCACTCGGATACATCAACTCCTATCACACTTGATTAACCCACACAGCCATGGCCCAGCACATCGGTAGCTGACAAGATAAAGTTAAGTTTAATTACTGTTATTTTCCCGATGAATGAAGTATTTCCTGTATAAACTTCAAAAAGGTAGATGAGACAGCTGTCACTGGGAGAGAGGTAAGGAACTGAAAGATGAGAGTGGCTTTCAGCTGCAAAGAGCAATCTGCGTCTTCCGAGAGTTGTTCTTTCTCTCAGACAAATCGCGGCACTGTTAGTGTGACTTAGATGCTGAGAGGTGTCTGTCAGCTTCTTTGACAGCAAAAGCTGACGGATCTGAAATTCAGTCCAATCTTTCATTTTGGAAGGCATTTATCAGTGGTCTTTTGAGGAAGTAATAAATTTGAAATATCAACTATTCACTAAGCTATAAAAAGTTAGACTTTTACTGAAAGTCTCAATATTTGGAGGCTTTTCTGTCAGACACAATTTGGCTAAGAGTATTTGTTATAACATGACGTTCCTAAACGCAATCCTGTAATATATAAAATTGAACAGTCAGGTAAAAATCCTGTGACATTTTCAGGAGGAAAGTCATTTTAGTGCTTCTCGGTTGGCCGTTTTTCAGTTTCCATAATTGTCTTTTAGGTACATACAGCAACTGCGGTTACTCCTGCAGAGCGGATTGCATGCAATGCTGCTCTTTACTCTGTTTAAACGTATTAACGAGTTGCTTTTCAAAAACACCCCTCAATTCTGTTATGAACAGTTAATTGCTGGTAAATGGTTACTGTGCATCAGATAGAGATAGCACTGTTTTCATGGGTAGGAATAGTTTTCTTTTGTGTTATTACACTTTTTCAGTTTTATAGTGCATTATGATTTTATGGTCTTCTACTGTGCTTTTGTATTACATGATATGGTTGAGGCAGAAACAAGCCTAAATGCAGTTTGCATTTAAATTCTTCTAATGCTGGCTCTTTTGATTTTGAGAAGCCTTATTGCCCCTGTCTTGATTGTGTTTTGTTTCCAGCAGCATTGTCACAGGATCTATTTAAAGTACTGTAGTTCTTGAGTTTAAAAGATGCTCTTCCTCAGGTGGATTTTTTTATTCCCATTTACAAATGGTGCTTCCCACTCCTCTGATTCAAATGTGCTTTTGGAAAACCCCTAATTTTTCAGTCCCAGTAGCTCAACTTATTGTTCAAACACTTAAAAAAGAAAAGGAAAAAAAAAAAAAGAGTATGGGTGGGGGGATGTTCTGTGGAGTTGGAAATTATCTGGGAGTAGATCCACCTGTGGCTGAGCAAAACACGATGATAATTGGCACTTTACCACAGTGGAGAACGCTAGTGAGCTTGCCAGGGTTTTCTCCTGCCATTCTCTTACCCCTTTCCCTTCCATTCCTTCAGCGTTGTTGTCTTTAGAATCACATGTGCTTTGAACTGAGGCCCTCCTTCTGCAGCGAGCCGGTGCGCTCCAGGCTTACCTGGAAACGCCGCATCGGTGTGAAGATGTGGCAGCAATTGTTTGGAGTTTGGCCAGAACACACGATACAGAATATCTACTCGTTCTGTGCTCTGGTTTTATGCCAGCTGTTGGAGCACACTGGTCGTTTAGGCAAGGGCAGTGGTTACGTTTGTACCACTGCAGAGCTTTGCAGAACGTGACTGCAGCGTTTCCTTACGTACCAGCTACCTTATGGCAACAGGCTAACAGCATTTCTCGGCTGTAACTGCGGGATGGGCATTCATACGTGCCTGTGATCGTCCTGTTTCAGTGCAGACAGTCTGACGTACAAATGCGAATGGAAAAAAAGTCTCTGGCGTTTGACTGGGATCCTGCAGGGTGCAAATCTCTTTCAAGTTCACAATAGAGATTTCCAGACAGTGTGTACACTTTCACTTTTCCTCGAGCAGAATCAAAATGCTTGGATTGTTTGGTTGCCTTGTAACCTACACTAACATATGCTTATCAGAAACATTTATGTCCAGCAAATGAACTATTTTGGCCTCTTTGGCTTGTAAAAGAGTTAAAGTAACAAAAAAGAACTGATCTGCTCTGGTACTCCATGCTATAGGGATACCTGAACTAGTTCTGACTTAATTCCATAACTTAAGGGAATAGGTCCATGGCAACTGTCCATCGCAGCCAAAGTAATTCACCTGATAATTTACTCCAGTACTACATAACCAGCGGATGCCTTGCTTCATTACTTATAAAGATCAGTAATCTAAGGTGCCTAGAAAACTTTCAATAAAATGACCTTTTTTTTAGCCATTTTGTATGCCTACCTCTATACAAAAATAAAATTAAAAAATCACTATGATTATCACTAATTGCAATATTAACTCCCTTCTCTTTTTATGTTTGCTGCAGGCTGGAAATTAAATCCAGTTGTTGGTGCAGTTTATAGTCCAGAATTCTATGCAGGTAAGGATTACGCTAAAGTTGTCTATACCATATTTTATTTCAGTATTCTTTAAAACATGCAAAAATACAGAATATGTGTTTGATGCGAGGTTCGTTTTCTTTATTTGAGTCACATTATTTGCAAGTCATTTATAGATCTGTAATGCAGAATTTTAAGTTGCCTGGACATACTAAAGTTCATGTACAAGATATTTGAATACCTTGTTATTGGAGAGTAGATAGTATAACATGAAATGTACTGCAATGTCCCTGTCTTACATGAGTTTTTATTTTATTTATATTTTATTTATCTTTAATTTTATTTTATCTTTCAGTACAGTCACTTTCCTCCAGGAATTAATTAAGCCTAGTGAGCAACAACAAAAAAATCCATCTATAAATATATACTTAGTGTATATACATATACACACATAGGTATAGAGTAACTGTGTTCATAATTTTTTTCTTGAACGTTTTTCTTTAAATGTTATATTTAGTTATTCAGTTTCTTAAAATTTTTGCATTTTAAATCTATATTATCACTTGAGTCCTCACTGGGACCAAATTCTGATCCTGGTTACAGTTTGGAGTTAATGAGATACTATCTTTTTCTGCTGGAAGTCAGTCATGGCTAGCAACAGTTTCTTAATGTGCTTCAGCAACAGTTTTGAAAACAAACATAGTTGAACTCCAAAACTTAGTTGAGGGATTTGAATCCTGCCCATAAACTTAATCGCTAGCAAGTCCTAAAAACCCATTTTATGAAACCTAATAATTTACATCTAAGACAAATAATCACTGTAAATCCAAATGTTTCTAATAGGTGATAAAATTGCCTTCCTTTCTTAGGTTCCAAAATCGTATATGAGTCTTCTATGACTTTCATGAGAAACTCTTTCAGTTTTCCATTTGGATCTGTTTTTCAGTTGTCTAGGTGTGTGTATGCTGTGTACAAATACCTAATCATGGTTTAAAAACCAAAAATATTTATTTATTGTTACACACTTAGGTAATTGAGAATAAAGAGGTAATTGTACAGCAAGTAATACTGCAAGTAAAGAACAGCTGCTAGGAAAGCATTCTTCACAGGTGATGGTGAAGTGTGGGAAGAGATTGCCCACAGAAGCTGGGGAATCTCCATTCATGGAGATATTCAAGCCTCCACAGAAACTGGGGAATCTCCATTCATGGAGATATTCAAGCCTCCACTAGACAGAGCTGAAAAACTTTCGTTAGTTCAAGGAACTTCAAGAGAGAAAAATTATTAAATAAGACTACTGTTACAAACAGATATTCATTTTAAGAAAGCTGCCTGTAATACATCCAGTGCCATCTACTAAGATAGATTAAAATGTTCCAGTTAGGGTAAAAGTGGCACAGTATAATAAAAGTACTAACTTGGCATTCATGGAATTGCAATATTTAGTGTAGGCAAAATTTATTTCCTTCCTTGATGTATGCCTACATTGAAAACAGGAATTTAACATTGATCTCGTTTGAGTAGTTAGTGAACCAGCCCTGAACCTGCATAAATTAGAAAGTCAGAGTTATTAGTCATTTTATATGAATGACTTTGTGTTAATGACAAATATAATAATATTCCCATAGTACAGTAATCAATTTTCTAATACGTATGCAGAATTAACAATCTGACTTATAATTGTCTCATGAAGTAGGGCATGAAGAGTTCACATAGTTTGTAAATTAAAATCAATATTTTCAATCTCTCCTGAAGGTAATTTTCCTAATTTACTGGACTTTTCCCTAACATTTATTTTGTCTTTTAATTATAAAATGGCAGGTTATTGATTTTTCTGTATAACCTCCTAAAGTCCCAAGTGCATTTTTATTGCCAACACAAGGGAGGTGTCTGCCCTTCTTAATGAGAATCTTTAATTACCATTAGAAGAGTATTAATTTAATTTTATGAATTATGACATGCACTCCACCACACCTATGCAGAAAGTTCTATCAAGGTCTATCACATATTTCAGATTTTTTTCTGTTTATACATGCAGGAATTTTGGGGTTTTTTTTGAAATGCATATCAAATGCATATTTTCTGTATTGACTCAAAGATATTTAGTCAGACATTTAAAATTTGTTTTAAGCAATTTAGTTACAAAAAAAAAAACCAAACAACTCTGCAGATCTCTTAAAGTCGTTAGAAAATGGAACAGTTAAAGAGGAATGCAGTTTTTGCCCGCCGTATTAGAATTCTGTGACATATCTTTCCTTTTGAGTTCCCCCCACCATCTTACTTGGAGAAGAAGCAGTTATACTTTTGAGGATTATAAAATTAGAAATGTGATTTTTAAGACAGTCCAAGTTCTAGTTATTTGATTTAATTATTGTCTCCAACAATTGTCATGTTAAAATTGTAGCAACTCTTTCATAGTTAGTACAAGAAGTTCCTTTAGCTCCTAATAAATGATGAAAAATTTGGCCACTTCTGAAATAAAGATGATACATTTGCAGAGAAACTGTTGATTTAAAGTACCTTTAATCTTCATAAATAAGTAAAAAACCAGAAGGTTATACAAAGCTGTCAGGATGGCACTGATGAATGGCAAATTCACCCGTTTCTCAATTGCCGGTGAAGACACACGCCGCAAGGCTTAACCGTATTGTACATCATATCTGCCAACTCATTTCTGTGATTAAATATTCCATCAGTGCGGGCTATAAGGCGGTAAAGCTTAACAAGATTCATAAGATGCACCACTTGAATACACATAACTCACTTTCTTGGATAGAGAGCACCCCGCATGCAAAAGAAAATTAGAATTGAGTTAAATTACTCCAAAAGACAAGATCAATAGAGAAAGGAAGAGATCCCCTAATGCAATGCAAATCTGAGATATAGTTATGTCCTGACAACTTGAAGCAGACAATTAAAGTCAAATAGGGAGGAACACAATGTAAATCAACCCTAAAACCTTGAAGATAATGGTAAACAGTAGGACCAGTGACACGATTGTTATAGCTCGGCTTTTTTTCTGAGTGTACACTTCTGTGAAAGAAAACCTTTATTGAGGAAACACATGACAGCTAAAAATGGAGACTCTGAGATACATAGCAGATGCACAACAGACACTATGTAAGTAAAGTATTACTTGGGGACCGGAAAATACTATATATTCACATGACACTATAGATTTTTCTTCCTGAGTAGCCCTTCTAAGACTGTTTTTCTGACTTGGAAATGCTAATGCTGTGGTAAATTAGAATGGTCCAGAAATATGGCTATTTAGGTCATTAATATGGATTTCCAGTGACACCTTCATGAAGTGCAGTTTGAAGACTGCTGTTGTAATCGCGAGGCCCAGCAAGTCTCGCTGACAGCTGCTGACTGCGGACGTGCTGGTGAGCTGGCTGACCAGTACACCTCCTGCCCTTCCCACACCTCCGCTGGGAAGTTCTAAAATCACATTCCATAGAAAACAAAAGGACGGTGATTTTTTTTTTCATTTATCCTTTTCAGCATTTTACAGAATTCTGCTTTTCCATATATCATAATTGATAGATAACTTAAAAAAAAAGAAAATTTCCTTCTGTCCACATAGTGTCCTTCTAGTAAATAAAAGAATACTATTTAAGGTGCTTTTCTTCCTTATGTGAAAGAAATGCTTAATGAACTTATCATTTCCATTTCAGCTTATCTTTTCCAGTAAACTATTTAGCAAGTTGTTAGGAAGGTCCTAATGAGGAAATTTGTAAGAAGCACAGTATGATTCATCTCACAAAGTCTTCCTGTAAACTGGGACAAGTTTTTCATTCATTTGTATATCTGTCCAATTTTAAATCCATCCCATAGTGACCCATAATTTTGCTATGTTTAGCTAGAGTCTGTTATCTTCCCCCGTACGCTCGTCTATGGCTGGCAAAATACAGATTTGCAGTTTGATTTCTTTCCTTGGAGTACTCTGGTACGGTCTTACCCTAAGTTGTCATGTTCTTTGTTTCTGTCGTTTATTATAATGTCCTTTTTATTTGCTTGTTTATTTTTATGTAATGTATATTTTGTCTGTAATACCTAGTCTTCCTTTCAGCCTCAGGCAGTCTGAAAGCAAAGTTTCATGTTGTTCCTTTCAGTTATTGCAGGTCTGTCTTTTTTTTTTTTCTCTTTTGGTTTTTGGAATGATGAATTTTTGGGCAGTCTCTTGCATTCTCCTTAGCTGAATGTAGAATATCGTTGCATTCTTATTACTACAACAGATCAGTCCTTTAAAGCAGATAGTTTGAGACACAGTCAGGCCATTTTAAAAGACTTTGTCATTGTAAGTGGCAGAAAATATATTTTAGGGCACATAGCTGTTGGAGAGGCTTATCTTTGACAGTTCCAGTATGCGAGCTGAGGGAAAAGATGTTACAGAAATCACCTAGAAATGTAGTGAATCTTCTTTCAGGTAACAGTTGAATTCACAGCGACCCACATTAGAAAATATTTTTGTCTGATCATAACAAACAAGCAATATTTCAAAAATTTCAAAATTTAAGTTGGCAGTGGAGAAAGAAAAGACAAGACTAGTGAAGAAGCAGCATTAGAACAAGTCATGGAGCACAGCTCAATGGCAAGTAATAAAGATCCCATTCTCCTGTTATGTAAGCAACTCATTACGTATTATTTTTCCTGAATAGTCATGAAGTGCTAGAAGTTTTTCGGAAGCGAGTTTCAAGAGTCATCCTACATAGCTGAGTAGTTGTATTCACTTCATAATGTTAACCCAGTGAGGACTATCGTAGGCACTAAGTTTCTTGGGCAGTTAGTAGTTATCGTTCAAAGGTGACTTGGAGAATCTTCCCCATCAGTTAAAATGAAAGATAGGGGAAGAACTTGTGGTTTTGACTGTTTTATATACCATCAGAAGGTAGAGAAGTTTTGGATGCCTGGGGCTTTTTAGCATACTTTGGAAGCTAGCAGTATCCTCCAAGAGGCAGATTTTATAACAAACTTCCTTTTATAAATTTGTTTAAAACTTTGAAATATAATATTAGATATAATGAAGAAGTGAAGAAAT